TATATATATGCATATTACATTTACACGATATTGAATATCAATTAAGCAAGTTATTATATAGGAAGTGAATACGAATTTGCTGTATTAATACGAATTTGTAATCCAATATCTCGCATCAGGTTAATGAAGAATAATGATGTTCTTTTGTTACATCTTAGGCTCACGGAATATCTTTCAAAGATATTGGATATTAACTTAACAAAAAGACCGGGTGACCCGGTTCGAAGGATAATTTGACCCAGAATCTTGTAATTTAGTACTACAAGTGTAGGACAATATCTTAATTACTTCAACTTTAATAATGTGGTTTAATATCTACTGGGAATGTTGGCGATTTTGGATATTTTGTATATCTACGTAGGTAGGCAGGTGCATAGTAATACAGTAAAAGTTCCTTATTCACGGTTTCCTTATTCGCGTTTTCATTATTCGCGGGTGAAAAAATTACAACCCTGTTCCTGTATCCGCGGCTAAAAAATTCATTATTCGCGAATGCAATCGGTACACAGAAAAGGATTCGGTGTCATTTATTAAGGGGATTGACCGCAATAGACCGTTCGTGCCTAGTGTGAATTTTTCCGAAAACGTGGGTTTCTGTTCTAAACATTGTGATTTAACGCTGCGAGATAAATATGTGATTTTTTGTATAGTAATAGACAATGGTTCACACTAACTCGGTACGTTTTTGGTTTTCAATAATATGACCATTAAAAGCTTTTACAAGTGATTAAAAGTGATGCTTCTTGTAGGACACGTATTTTCAATAGAAATCAAAAAATTAAAAAATGACCTTCTACAGACTTTAGAACAAAGCTTTATCTATCTTACTACAAAATTTCAAACTTCTGTTCCAAACATTAAACTCATGATATATAGAACCGATAATTGACATCTTTTGAGTACGTAGTTAGTACGTGACGAAGCGGCTTTTATAAAAAGTCTAACCGAGTAGAAAAGGATTCGGTGTTATTTTCCAACGTATCAGCATCTTTTGAGTACTGTTGGCTCGTACCGAGGCGACTTTTTTAAAAGATGTAACCGAGTGGACTAATTTCAATATTCAATACAACAAAAAATTACTAAATTTTTTAAACTCTTGTCTAAAGCTAATTATAACTATTAATTTTAATTGCGAATTTATTAATACATTGATTTTATCTTGATCATATTGGTTTTATGTTGGAACCTTAGAACCTATTCCCTATGATTCCATGCTAATTACCATTCCATATCCACGGTTTCTGTTTTCGCGGCATATTTATGGAATGTATACCCTGCGAATAAAGAGCTTTTACTGTATAATAAATGTCTGAAACTGATAATATACAGACTCTCGTCCAGGTATACTGCACAAGTATGTGTGCGTTGTATGACCCTACCGAAAAACATTTTTTTTTTTATTTACAGTAAAAAATTTCGGTAAGAGAAGTCATTTTTATTAAATTGATTTTAAAATTTTGATTTTTCAGTTTTTACTGATGCGTATGGATTAACAGCTAGTGTTCTAGTTTGTATTCATCATAAGGTTTTCCAGTTTTCAACTTAATATTTGGTTTTAGTTTTTTAGTTAGATATTACGTACCTACCTAGGTACTATTTAAAACCAAAGCTCACGACGAAACGTAAATATCTAGAAGTAGAAACATTCCATCGGAAAATCGTTTATCAAAAGTAGCGCAATTTTCTTTCCAAAATAAACCTCAAATAAAACGAAAGGTAACGTTAAGTTCCCACAAGTATATTATTATATACCAAAAAAGTATTGATAACGTGGTTGGTTCTAATATAAGCATTGGCAAACATTCAATTTAGTGTAATTATGTATATTTATGCTTATCTATCTAAATTTACATCCAATATTTACAACTCAATAGTACAATCATGATCGACGCAACCGGACGTCGATAACATTTGTGTAGGACACGATACATTTATTTATCCTTCGACAGAATCGAATAAAGGATAGTCCTCAAAGAATCACTGAGATTTGTACGTAGTATTAGTTATTTACCTAATCAGGTAAATTAATTAAAATGTCTGTCTGCAGGTTCATTTATTTGAAACAAAAGTGGTTCGATTTCCGATTCCGCTGAGATCTTGATGATATCGTTCAACATTGCTACAAGTAAAATTATATTATGTACACTTGATTGTCAGTCTCGTCATGGTCACCCTACACCATTTGCAGTCCTTTCGTTATACTTTCGACGTGTTCTTTTGCACGGAGCCTGAGGGCCGCTATTGAGGTACTCCTGGGATCTGTCGTGGTCGCGAGACTTCCGGACTGCGAATGGGCCATGGGTGGAGGCGGTCGAGTCGAGTCCGGTGCTGCAACTGGAGACGTTAAATAGCTCGGATAGCCCGTTTGCGGATGGCTGAGGAAGCCTGGGAGAGCGGAAAGAAGAGGCGGAGATAACCACGGATCCATGGGCAGACCTAAGGCGGGGTTGCCGACGCGCGACAACGAAGAAACCGCGTGGTAATCGCTCAGACCCAGACGAGCTGCTTCCATCTTTTCCTGGCGTCGCCATTTCGCTCGTCTGTTCTGGAACCATACCTGGAATGAAGGAGAAAACGTTTCAACAATGTTAAATATCATTCACAATGTTGCATCCCTTTTTCTTTCGGAAAAATCAGTCGCAGCAAATGTCTTGCGGAACTATTACTACCATAAATTTTCACTGCGGAACTCAGCACAGAGATGGACTTACTTTTTTCATGGAATCCTTAAGACTTGATCGATGATATAGGAATTCTCAACAGCGTTACACATTTTGTTGCAATGACATTCTAATCAATACTTAACTAACAATAAGAAGCTTTTATACTAGATGTCTATCTGCGATTCTTTATTGAATAATCATAAATCTTTCTGGCTGCATAGTTGAAAATCCTTAAGAAAATAGAAGAAATTTTCAGCGACTTCGAAATTAAATAAAAGTTGTTGTCAAATAATTCCATTGCTTTTTGTTAAGAAAAAATTATACCTATGTTGTTAGAATACAACGATTTCATAATATGTAATGTAAGTTCGTAGATTAATAAATCAAGTATTTTATGTTGCTTATTGTTAGACTAAGAAAACAAGCCATGATTTGTATTAACCAAAGTTTATGTTTCGTCTAGTTCAAATCCTGTTCGGAAAGTAGTTGTAAGAAAGACGTTGTAAAAGAAAGATTGTCAGTAAAAGAACANACATCTTAGGCTCACGGAATATCTTTCAAAGATATTGGATATTAACTTAACAAAAAGACCGGGTGACCCGGTTCGAAGGATAATTTGACCCAGAATCTTGTAATTTAGTACTACAAGTGTAGGACAATATCTTAATTACTTCAACTTTAATAATGTGGTGTTATTTATTCTAAAATATTCATGTTTCCTTAGTTTTTTTATCGAAATTTCCTCATATTTTCCTAGATTCTTATGATTAATTATTCACTAGTATTAAGTACAATTCATTTTGCACAAAAATTAAATATTAATTCAAAAAATTCATTCTCAATTTCCTTTCCGCTATAAGTTACCTTAAATTAATGAGAAAAGTTCTTATTGCTACTGTCACACACCCTCGCCGGAAACCGAATCCAAAAATCAAACCCAGCACCTCCGCCATAGTTTTTTTGTGCTAGTGTCTTAAATGTTATTATCATCATCATCATCATAAGGTCATCAGTCCTAAGACTGGTTGGACACGTATCTCCACTCTTTCCTATCCTGAGCTAAACTTCGCATTTCCCTAAAACTGGAACAACCCACATCCTTAACTAATCTGGGTCTACCTCTACCCCTACTAACTCCTGTTTCTGCCTCTAATATGTCTCTGACTAGACCTTCATGCCTGAGAAGGTGTCCTACCAACCTATCTCG